AACCAACTTGTGCAAAATATTCGCTTAGATCTTTTTCGTCTAAATTCAACAATCCTGTAACAAATAATTTGTTATTAGTTACCGGTTTTGAATTTGTTTTTGAAGAATTTGACGAAGATCTGGACAGTTTTGAAGTGATAAGTGGTTTGGTTGTTTGATTTTCATCAGACATGTTAGTCAGCTTTGTAATTTTATACAAGAATGACGAAAAACAAAGGTATTTATACAAAAAAAGCAAAGGATAAATCGAGGTAATTTTCTTTGGTCAAAAATAAATCGAAAATGATATATGTTAGAAAATAAATCGAGCGTGTTTTTTTCATTGTTAGAAAAATCTTCGCAAACTATCTTTAATAAAGGTATTTCTATTTAATTGTTGACAATCTTCTTTATTTAGAATTGCTTTATCTGAAAGTAATGCTTGATAATCTGGAGTTTAGATAGTTATATCTGGACTAAGACGTATTCGAACACTATCAGAACCCCAAGATTCTATTTGTAGTTGTTGTTGTACTCCTTTTGAATCTATATTTCTAGAAAATTTACAGGATGATGCATCATTACATGAAATTAACTGAAGGAGAACCAGAATAATTAATTTATAAAAATATTTATCGATGGTTGATATCTTGAGGGTGTGGATGTGAGTGTATTATAAAAATAACACCCACACCCACCCCTCGATTATTTTAAATAAATAAAAAAAACTATAAAACATAGTATTTGAATCATGACTACTTTTAATTAATCGTAGATCATGCAATTTCTCATAATATGATATACTAGTCATTTTTCTTCAGTGAATTCGAATATCCTGTTTTCCGAATTGGTGATCGTGATGTGGTAGATTTTGTAGTTTTGACATTGGAAGAAGTTGTATACAAGTCACCTTTATAACCATATTCAGTACAACTCCATTTGCCGTGTCCCTTAACAGGCGGTGCTTTTTCTTGGATAGATTGAGCATCTGTCCATTTTTGGTCATGATACGAACTACCGGTTTGTGTGCGCGGATCTGAACCACCACTATAACAATGTTCATGATACATTAATCGAAGTTTGCGTCCATCACGTATCACAATTGGCTCGCCTTGATATATTACAGTGCGACATTCGCGACAACTCCATCCAGTACGATTTGCATGACCATGAGTTATTGTCCAATAAGGTTCTTGTGACATTTCGTCGTTTTAATCTACAAAAATTAATAAATGAAATATATATGTTAAACTTGAAAGTTGAATTCTGTTATTGAAGTATTCAGACGCATGAACTCTTGGAGATTCAATTATACTTTTAGAATAGTAGAATAATTGAATTGAACTTCCAAATTTGATAGCAATGACTTCGTATTTTTGTTTTATGTAATGAATTACAGTTTGATGTGAGAACAGAAAAAGTAACGTCATCTTTCTTTATAAAATAAAAAAGGTTGTTCGGTGCACATGCGATTTTATTGTTTATTTCTTTCTTTCTGCTCGTGTTACGCATCTATGTGTGCGGCTGTTGTAATTACATTGAAAAGAAAAAGAATTGGAGTATATAAAAAGAAATTTAAGAACGCAATAAAATTATTATTGTTACGTGTAAATTTTAACTTATATAGTAATGTATAAAACACAATACAATAGTTGTGTGTATCGGGATAGTCGGAAGCGGTTACAAATAATATCATAAATAATAGCAGCTGTTTGATCAATGTAATAATTAAAGATGCAAGCACGCCATGTTTGAATATAGAATACAAAAAAAATAAAAATAAACAAGAACAGTAAAATAGAAAGAATGAAAAAATGACTTGAAAAGAAAAAAATAGAGGGTGTGGATCAAATTACGTTTGTAGGTGCGTGTATTTTATTCTACGCACATATTACAAACTAATAAACTGAAATACAAGAGAATTTGGTCAAATAGCAACCATATCGTAATTTATTTGACCTACTGTGCTAATGGTGCTATCAGTAAACCACCTGGTGATTGTCCTTGAGAGTGAATGTGAGTCTTGATCACAAACAAAGGTAGTACTCACCCGCATCACCAAGATGGTTTTTTTTTCAAATAGAAAAAATACGAAATTTTTGTATTTTGATTAAAGATCTTAGCTTTAATTAGTCCTTTCAAACTTCATTCGTATACAAAAAACAATTGTATTATATTTATCCATCATTTAAAACAAATATTGTTGATAAAGTCAAATTAAATAACAAAGATATACGAATAATTTTAAGAGCCAAAACGGTGAGCACGAGGAATTAGCATCACTACACCACCATCTACACTTATACTCTTCGAAATGTAATATTTAATCTGTCAATAAAGACCATATTTATCTCTATTTTTATGTGCTTAAACTTCCTCGTGTTCATTGTTCACCAATTCTTTTTAAGTAATAATAAAAATTTCTTCATACTTTCCATTCATATAAACAAGATTAGTACCAATCTTTTTTAATTATCAATATTGACCTGAATAGGTGTGGGTGTGGGTTTCGATACTATGTAAATGGGTAATATCCATAACCACACCCACACCCTCAAGATAGTTAGATGCTTATACAATATACTCGCACTTATTTATCCAATATTCATTTATAATCGAGTTAGATTTATAAATCGCCTACTTTCGAACTCAACAGTGATTTTTTCATACATGGTCTATTTATTTCAACGTTAAAATCTTCTGGAGAATATTAACAATAATAATCAAAAAAACAAAAAGAAAACGTCATTTCCATTTTAAGTAAATATTACAAAGTTGTCGATGAATTGTATAATCTAATAAAAGTTTTTCATCATCAATCATTTGTTTTAATTGTTTTATCATTTGATCATCTGCTGTTATTATATGAATACATAATACATGTAAATATTCATGATGATTTTGATTGATTTTATTTAAAATCTTACGTAAAAATGATTGAATATTCATATTTTGAATATATTCAACATTAAGATATTCCATACGAGGACAAAATGACATAAGAAATGAAATATTTTCTATTATAAATATCTTCTCCAAATAAACATATTTTATATTCCTAGCATGTTCAAATGCAGATATTGTAACAGATTCTTGATTTCCAAATCGACTTATTGCTTCATAGAATGATAAAATATTGATTTTTAATGAAATAAGATCAGGTAATAAACGAATTATTTGCATTAACCTGTCAGTAGAAATTTGTTGTTCAATATTTAAATGATAAATTTGAGTAATATTCAAAACACGTTTTATTTGATTTAATAAAATATCAGGACGTTCATTAGAATAAACATATTTTATTGTCAATTGAGCTAATTTGGAATGTTCAATAGAATATTCATACCATCTCTTTCTAAAAAAAAAAGAAGAAATTAATTTGAAAAAAGATCCAAATATAAAATATTACTTGAATGGACGGACAAAATAATAAATATCATATTTATAAATTTCAATATCGAAAATCAAATTTCGTTGAATCCAAAATGGTGAAACAAATTGATTTAATTTTCCATGATAAATCGGATAATTATTGCCATATCCCAATTCATGATAATGTAAAGAAAATTTTTCTAATTGCGGAAAATTTTCTAGAAGTAGTTTTTGCCAACGATCAGCATGAAGAAAATGAATATCTCGTTTTGAAAATTTTACATGAAGAATTTGTAATTTTGAATGAATTTGTTCAATAAAGAATTGAAATTTGTTGAAGTCCAAATCACTTGAATATATCGATAAATGAATGAGTTCATTTAATTTCATTGGTAAAATATGTTCGATATCTGAATCGTAATGATTTAAATGTTCAAGATTAAGATGACGAAGTGAAGGTGTATAAGATATTAATGAAGAAAGTTCATCAAATGTAAACGAATGAGCGACATGAAGATATGTAATAGGACTTAATTGTTGATTATTTGACATTGGAATTGGTATGGAATATTTATTTCTATATAAATCAAGTTTGATCGATTTTAGTTTTGGTAATGAAAATATTAATTGATAAATTTCATTTAAATTTTCAAATGAATCTGTTGATTTGATATTTAATAAATAAAGACAAGGTAAATCATGTAAATGAATGAGTAATGAAACAAGTTGATCTTTTTCAATATCTTCAATAAAAATTGATTGAAGATTATTAAATGAATAATCAATTGAAAAGAATTCATTTATAAAACTTTGTGGTGATTGAAAAGAAATTGAATAAATTTGATGTTTGATTTCCTTTAAATAATTCCAAAAGAATTCTTTTGTTGTTGAATAATCAATAATTATTTTATATCGGTTCGTTGAACATGTAATTAATTGTTGAAAACGAGAATTAAGATTTGAAAATGCTATACAAAAATCCAAACCTTCAAGATAATCATATATTTCATAGAAGAGATCATTCGACAAATTTTCAATAGAATTTACTAATTGATCTTGATTAAAATACAAAAACAAAACAAGTTTACATATTATTAATTAAATAAAGTTACTTCGTGATTTTTTTGAATTTTCTTCAGATGATTCGATCGAAGTTAATTTTCGTTTCGTATTATCCATGTTGTTTACTTACAAGGAGAGAAAAGAATTCCAATATATATAGTCTGCTTTTTATTTCTTTCCTATACTTTTTATTCAATAAATGATCGATTATATTCGTCCGCTCAGGCGATAAAAAAAATTGGTAGGACGGGCAACCTGTCTAGTCCGCAATGTCAGTATTGTTCGTCATGTCTAGTCTGACGTGTCATGTGATCCGTCAGGTCTAGTCTGTAGCACTGTATGTCAAAATAAAGACTAGTCTGTTGTACGAGACACGTCATGTAGTTACGTCTCGACTAGTCGGACACTTTTGGAAAGCATCTTGAGGGTGTGAGTATGGGTGAGGGTGGGTGTG